GAAAGGGAGGGAGGGAGGGAGTGAGGAAGGGAGGAAGGAAAAGACCACAGTAATACATTGAACTTCCAGAAAGAGAGAACAAAGCTAAGGATACTAGAGATGAGGGGAGGAGAGAGGGAAGGAGGGAGGGAGGGGGGTTGGGGAGTCATAGGTTGGGTGGAGAGCATGGGGAAAGATTATAATTTGTAATGATGAATATGCTAAAAATAATAACAAAAAAAAACCCCTTGTAATAAATTGGTATTAATAAACAAAATATATACCTGAGTTTTGTAATAAGCCATTCTAGCAAATGATCGAACCCAAGAAAGGAGTTATAGGAACTCCCTATTTGTAGCCAGTTGGCTAGAAGTACTAGAGGCCCAGACTTGCAATTGGCATCTGAACTTGGGGGCAGTCTTGTTGGACTGAGCCTTTAACATGTAGGATCTGACTCTAACTCCAAGTAGGTAGTGAAAGAATTGATTTGAATTACAGGACACTCAGCTGGTTTCCAATAATTCATTGGTGTGGGAAAAAACCCACACATCTGGACACAGAAGTGTTCTATGTTGAGTGTTGAGAGTATAGTAGGAGAAGAAAAAGTATGTGTTTTTTTCATACAACCCCCAACTACCTTCTTATCTAACTGTCGCACACAAAGCCAATATTTACCCTGCCCTACATCAACCCAAGGCAACTAGAGACCACCCCTATTGCCCAAAGCCCACCAGAATTATTCTAACTAACTGATTCTAAGCTGTTTAGTCTGCCCTGCCTTGCTTTTCCTATGGAACCCCCAATAAAGGCTCTGACTCAAGTTTTCACCTCGCTCCTGTCTTCTGCCTCCTGAACATCTTGATGTTTACCATGTGGCCCTATGTGGTATGGGGTGTCCTCTTCTCTCAGAAAATGTATGTAATAAATCCTTCTTTCAATGGCATTGACCTCTTTATGTTGTCACTCAGTCACCTCCATAAATTAAAACCCTGTGGGTACAAATGAAACACTCTGACCCAGCATTTCTTCTTAGAGAAATTAATTACAAAGATATACATGCACATCCATGCAAAGCTGAATACACAAGGATATTCATTCCAGAATTGCATAAACATGAAAAATCCTAAATATTCACTAATATGTTACGGGTCAAATATAAAGTATTACATTTTTTCAACCACAAAATACTACACTACCAATGGAAAGAACAAAGAATATGTATTAATATGGAATGTGTGGGAACACAGTGGCCTGACTAGGGAGTGCACAAATGGCAAAAGCCTTAAGTGCACAGGATCAGAACTACATGTGCTGAAAACAGCACACACTGAAAACAGCAAAGATGTTCTGATTGATTGGTAGGGAACACTGAGATCATTTTTTGTCCTATTCAAGCATTCCTTTCTGTACTTATTTTGATACTATACTTAGCTTGTTACACAGCTAAGGTCTTGACATTACAATAAAAGCTGAGACAAGCCTGAGCTCAGGGCTGCACCTCCTCTCTCCTTTCTTGTGGGAGTTAGCTTGGTGTAGTCCCTCTGGGCATCTCATTGCTTTTACAAAGCTGGGCTCTGAGTAATCCCTGCATCACCACCACACAGAGAGCTGCAGCAAAGAGCTGCAGCAGGAACGTCTTCTAAGAAACAATAGTGAGTAAAAAGCAATGTGCTCAACAATTTGTGGTATACTAACGCTTGTGAAAAATAAAGCTGAGATATGGGCTGGCGCGGTGGCGCACTGGATAGTGCGCTGCTTGGGAAGCGCGGCGGCGCTCCCGCCCGAGGGTTC